TTTCTATTTCTATTTCTATTTATATTTATATTTATATTTATATTTATATTTATATTTATATTTATATTTATATTTATTTATATGTAATCTCCCCCACTACCAAACCACCTTTTTTACCAATCCATTTAAACCCTTTTGCCCACCCCTAAATTTGCAGACAATTTTTTCAGAGCATCACTAAGCCTTCTGCTGAAAGAATATCCATGAAAAGATTCTTTTCCTTTTCTTTTCTTTATTTTTTTTGTACCCATTCATTTTAGGAAACCAGAGCAATAATGGCACCCAAATAAATGACAAAGTGAAGTTTTACATTGTTTGCAGAAAGACAAAAAAGAGCAGAGCTGTGTGGCCCTGGGATGGTGTGTGCTCCACAGGGAGGGATGGGTCCAGGGTTTCCATTTCAGTCCTGGGCAGAAGAGGCCCATGACCTGGTGGTTGAAAAGAAGATTTACTTCTCTCTGTTCAATCTTTTTGTTGTCACATCGCTGGTCTGTGTGAGTCAAATGCAGCAGGTTTTGGTACAGCTGAGCTGGAGTCACTCCTGAAACGGCCGGGATTGCAGAGGGAGCCAGCCTGGAGCGGGGCAGGGCAGAGGTGACAGCAGGGGTCACCCGGGGGGTCACACCCCAAAACCTCCCGTGGCAGAGCAGGGGTGGAATCACCCCAAGCTGTGTCCCAGTGAATTCCAGCTGAGGGGAGAGCAAACCCAGAAACTTTGGCCACCTCCTAAGGAACTTTTCTCTGAGCTCATGTTGAACCTTTTCCCAGGATTTTCCAGCTTTTCTTTTCTTCCCCTCCGTGCTGATTGCCAGGGCAAACGTGTGCATTTGGGAGGCTCCCCTGCAGCCCTGCAGGAGCCCCTGGCTGCACCCAGGGCTGGGAAGAGCCTGCTCTGTGCCTGCCTTGGGGCAGAGAGAGGGGAATCCTCCCCTGGGAGGGAAAACCCACAGCGTGGGATCCAGGGAGTACCGGAGCAGTACCGTCAGCTGCTGCAGAGCCTGTGGGCACAGAATGTTTTATTTGGTTGAGCTGGGTGATCTCAGGGGCCTTTCCCACTGCAAATGTTGGTGTGATTTTCATGCTGGCTTTGGGGTGAGGTGTCCCAGGGTGGGTGCAGGGAAAAAAGGGATCTGTGATCCCAAATCCCCTGGACACATCCCGGGTCAGTTCCAGTGCTGATGGAGCATCTCCAAACCATTCACTCCTAAAAACCCCTTCAGTCTGGGCTGTTTATACCACCAAATGCTCAAAATATTAATTGAGATGATTCTGCAGAGCCTCCTTGATTAAAACACGTTTTTTTCCATGCAGAAAACTGGATTGTCAGGTTTTTGTGCTGGGCCATCACACTCCAGCTCCGAGTCCCAGTGTGGGACCAGGGCCAGCCTCAGCTCAAAGGCTTTTTCACTTTGAAAGAATAGAGGGAAGGAAGAAAGAAGCAGAAAATATATTAAAATGCAAGATTTTATATTAGTTATGTGATCCCCCGGGAGCAACCATAAAATTATGTGGCTTTTTCGTGGCCATTTACTATTCAATATAAAAAGGGGAGTTGCCATAGCAACCACTGCATCATCTGACATCTGATACCTTGGCCAAACAGGGAGCTCTTAAATCAACTCCCCAAATTTCATATGAAAGTAAATACATTTTACTGGTGATTTCAAGGCGAGTTTGCCTTGTGACAAGGAATGTGGCACCATTTCCCCAGCTCAGCTCGTGGCCTCTGGGTCCCATCCTGCAAACTCAGGCCCTGGAGCTGACATTACTCAGCAGTGTGAGAGATTAGGACTTAGAGGAGTTTGTTTTCCTAAGTAAAATTAAATGAAAGGAGCAAATGACACCATTTCTTTTAACATTTCTTGCTGGCTGGGGAATGCCAACAAAATGAAGAAGTTGAGTGCAGTAAGAGCTGAAGTTCCAGCTGCAAGTGTGTGAGCAGCACAAAGGAGGGAGACAGGGGAGTGAAAATAGAAATAAAAATTGGAAGGATGTTTGTGTAAGCTCCCATTGGACTGTGGGGCTGGGCTGCACGAGTGACACTGAGGGGTGGCAGTGACATCACCCTGGGGTGCTCTGCCTTCTCTGCCAGCACCAAGGCAGTGCCAGGGGCTGGGGGAGCAGCCAAGAGGGGCAAAACATTTCCCAAAATATCCAGGAGCTCTTTGGGTCTCACCTGGTGCAGCCCAGGAGGGTCCCAACCTATCCCAAACTGCCTCCTTCTTGTACAAAAACAATTTCAAAATAAGTGTGACAGTGTCTGAATTCATCTCCCCAGGAACAAGGGAAGTGCAGGAAAATACAAAATTATTGTTTTGACATCACCTTTGAGGCCAAGGGCTCCTACATCACTGCTCAGTGCTCTGTCCCATCTATTAAAATACTTCTCATTTTTGACACAATTCTTGAAGCTAATCTTTCCACTGATGTTCGTCACTGGAGTGGAATTTACATTTGTTTTGTGTATTTTTAGCTTTCCAAAGCAGCCTTGAAAACTATTTAGCCCGAATTGTTGGCATTTCACTTTGCACAGACTCGGTGTTTGTGGCTAAAGGTTGTTTTTGGGGTGGTTTGTAAGGGTTTTGAATGCACAGGGATTACACCAAGCACAGGTGAGGGGGATTTGTGTGCAGACACAGCCTCTGTGCAGGAGTTCTTGTTCTTGAGTAAAATGCTGGTTTTATACAGAGAGTGGTTGCTGATTCCCAAAAAATGTGGGAAATCCCCTCTGCATCTGGTGGGGAGCCACACACTCAAATTCCAACAGGAATTACACTGAGACAGGTGAGCTAATATTAATTTTTTGTGCAATGGACAGAAATGCCCTAACTTGTAAATGCAGTGGCAAAATTTGGCCATTTAGGGATTTTTTCGTTATAAAACTCCAGGCAGATCTGCAGCCACAACTGAAACACTGAGCATCTGTCAGAAATCCTTTCCTGAGTTCTTCTATCAGGCTCCAAGAAGTTCATTTGTTCATTTTGGAAATTGCTTGAGCTCATTACTTTGAAGATGTTATTAAAAACTCATTTATCTTTTTAAAGGGGTCATTACAGCCCAGTGGGTCCTGCTTTGGAGGGGGAACACAGGCTGTTCATGCAGGGTGTATCAAAACTTGGGCTCCTCATTTTCCCTTTGGAAAGCTCAGTTTAAAGTTGTTTTCTCCATCCTGAAGCTGAGTTGCTCCAGCTCTGGGGAAAATCCACCCGTGCTGGGCAGTGTGGGACAGACAGTGAGGAGAGCTCAGCAATCCCCAGTTTTGCTCCAGACAGCCATTATTTATCAGCATTGCCTCAGCTCTTAATTACTGAAAATTGAAATGTCCCTTCTTTCAGGAAAGTCCTGTCCCTTGGGTGTTACTTTGTTTTATGAGTGGCTGATACATGAAAGGGAGAAAAGGCTGCAGCCCCAAACCTGAGCCGACCCTCTCAGATCTACACCAACAGCCACAAAGTGGTTCAGAGGCTTGATGCAAAGCTGATAAAATGCCAAAAATTCCTCATTCTCTCTCTTGGGGAGCAGGGAGGGTTGTCTGGAAAACGTCAACAGTAAAAATTGCATTTAAGTGGTGCATAGTGCAGCAGCTACTGTGGGCAGGGGGACTGCAGCAGATGAGGGGGTTTGGAGAGCACGAGCTCCATGCTCTGCCTCCCATCCTGGCTGGAGCACCTGGAGCTGCTGCTCTGAGCTCTCCTGGCCGTGGCAGTCATGGGGAAGAAAGGGTTTCTGGACACAGAGTAATCACTGAGCAAAAACCTTCTGCTTCTTGGTAATTCTCATTTAAAACTGGCTAAAACCATAATTAGTGTGAGCTGATGTTGGTGTGCTGCAGTGTGCACATCCATCCATCATCCATCCCTCCATCCATCCATCCCTCCATCCAGTCATTTATCCACCACCAGTGGAAGACGCCAGCCATGCCAGTGTCCCCTCCTGTCCCTGTCCCTGTCCCTTTCCCTGTCCCTGTCCCTGTCCCTGCCCTGGGCTTTGGCGCCCCAGGGCTGACAGCCTGGCTGGAGTCCCTCTCTCCCAGGAGCAGGCAGGCTCAGGAGCCCATTTGGGAGCAGGAGGAGATTGGACAGGACCATGCTAAGAAAACAAGGCAGCAGTGTTTCTTCTTTGCCCAGTGAAAGGAATAAAGGTTTTTCTTAAAACCATCCCACTTCTTAAAAGAAATTCCATTTCTCGAAGCCATTTTCTTCTGCAGTGTCTGGGCACATCCCTGCTGTGTGGAACCTCAGTGCTGCAGTGGGATGAGCCTGGGCAGCCTCTCTCAGCCCAAAAAGCTCCAAAAACCCTTTCCTGGAGCCAGGCTGTGCTCCCTGCTGGCCCCCAGCCCCTCCCCAGCCCCCCTGGCACCCTCCAGAAAGATCCCTTGGCTGGGGCTGGTCCTGCCTTTCCCTGGCCAAGGCTCGAGGAGGGGAGAGGTGCCTGGACCAGCCACCCACACTCAGCCACTCCACAAACAGCAGAAAAACCAAGCTGCTGCTTTGTAGTTTTTTTAATTTTCTTTTTTTAATTTTTTTTTTACCAGCAGATAAAAGAAAAATAGCTTTCTAGCTTTTTTTCCCCTGTGGTTTCTGTGCTGGTTTTTTTTTTTCCTCTGCTAAACTGTGTATTTTTCAGCTCAGTAAAGCATTTATTAGGAGTCTTTACAGGCCAGGCTGCTGGTGAATTATATATTGTACAGCTTCGGCGTGAGCTGGGGGAAAAAAAATTATGACATTTTTCCACCCAGACCGATTCTATCCAATAGCAATGGAAAATGAGGGTTTACCAGGAAAGCTTTAAGTTCAGCTCTGCTTGCCAGAGCTGCAGAAACCTTCTGTGCCTTGGTCCATGTGCGTTTCTAGAATGTCAATTTTCCTTTCTAACTCACAAGCGAAGCTAAAGCTGAGCTCTGCCGAGCTTTGGGTCCTGCTGCAAAGTCTCCAACAGCCGTGGCTTGACTCGTTTCTTTTTTGAAAGGATTTCTCACTTTGGCATCAATTGTTTTCCAGATCATCCTTAATTCAATGCACAAGTACCAGCCGCGGCTGCACATTGTGAAGGCGGACGAGAACAACGCCTTCGGCTCCAAGAACACGGCTTTCTGCACCCACGTCTTCCCAGAGACCTCCTTCATCTCTGTCACCTCCTACCAGAACCACAAGGTAGGCAGCTTTTGGGGCTACAAGTGCTTTATTTCTGGCCAGGAACTTTGTCAGAGAATCTCCCTGTTCTGCTGGTTTAAAAGACAAGTTTGTGTCCTGGCTGTAAGCGGGAGGGATGAGCCGGGGTGCAGCTCTGCAGGAGCAGGGATGCTGCTGGTAACAATATTTTGGCAAAGCCTGGGCTGCCCTGACTCGCTGTGCTGTCATTCAAACAGCAAAGCACATGGAATAATGAGCAGTAAAGCTTGCCCATAAATCTGCAGTGAGCAGTAATTACAGAATGTGTGTTTAGTGAGACAGATGAGGAATGTAACCATAAAAACGGAACTCGGAGCTGCCCCTGCGGTTTCACGTGGGGACAGCAGGGGCTGGGGCTCTGGGGAGGGGACTTTGGGGTACAGAGGGGCAGTTCTGTGCTCTGGCTGGGTGTCAGGGCACCTGTGTGCTCTGGGGCTGCTTTGGGGTGTGAGCGTGGTGTTACCTGTGCAGTGGGCAGAGTTCTGCCTCAGCTGGACCCCAGCAGGACTGACAGCAGTGGGACAGGAAATTGTCACCTCCCTGTGTCACCTCAGCAGGGAAGGGACAGGGGAGGATGACAGCAGGGCATGGAAAGGCTTCAGATTCTTTCCTGCTACTGCTCTGCCTGTGCACAAGCTCCTGCTCCCGGGCATTTTCCTAATGGCAAAGTCCAATAGCTGTTTGAGGAATAATTAATAATTTAATTGGAATTTTTAAAGGGCATCAAGATTCATAACTGAAGGTGCAGAGTCAGGTCCTGTCACCCTGAGTGTGAAATCTGCCATGTGTAACTGTACCAGTTCCTTTCCTACACATTCACAGGAAAATCCTGCAGGAACAGGAACAAGTGTGAAATTCTTCCTCCCCAATAACCTGACCAGAGCTTTTCCTCCCAAGCAGGATGCCTGTGTGCCCTTTGATGCTGGAAGCACGGAGTGCTTGCAAAAATGCTGCAATTAGTGAGCCAGTAAAGAGACTCAGAGCAGGAGCATGGATGTGGTATGGTCAGGCAGGGTGGGGGAAAGGCCCATTAGGACACTGAAGGCAGAAAAGTTGTAGCTCTTGATGTAAAATGACCAATTGCCCAAACATGGTTAACCAAAAAGACTCAAAAGAGCTTATATTTAATACATATTTAAAATGGCTGCTGTCAATGGTGCCTTTCATCCCTAAAGTTCCCAGAGTGCTCCAGGAACTCCACACTTGCACTGTCACTGCTGCCCAGCTGTGCTGGGGGTTTGTGGCTGGGGGGCAGCACAGGGAGCACCTGACAGATTTAGGGAAAATGTCCCAGATGAGCCCAAATTCTTTAGTGAAGATCCTGTGAGGAGCCTCTGGGGTCTGCAGGAGGGGGGGATGGACACTGCCCTGAGCAGGGGACACAGGGACCTGCAGAAGTGACAGCAGGCAGAAGGACCTCAGGACCTCTCCAGAACCTCAGTGTGGTCTGGAGAAAATCTCAACCTCGGAGGAATACCTGAATGGTTTTATTTATTCTCTTAAGCATCAACAATGAAAAACCTGGTCTGGGTTTCTTTTAGAAGAAAAACAAACTGCTGAACTATATTTAGCTCAGAAATCTCCTGCTAGCAAGAAGTGTGGCTGTAAATAATTGTATTCCTAAAGAAAAAAAAGAGGATAGAGGTTACCCCTGGGCACAGGTCAGGGAGGAAGGTGTGTGATCCCCCAAATCCCCTCGTGGGCTGGATGAGGCCAGGCCCAGGTGACGAGGAGGGACTGAAGCCCTGATCCTGCTCACGTCAGAGGAAAACCACGATCGCTAAATAACAAAATGAAATTAAGATGTACAAACCTGCTGTCAGGCTGTGGGTTTGGAAGGGTCCTACTCTTCTTGTGGTTCATCAGCTGCTTGAGCTTCCCTGGAAGAGTTTGAGCCCTGGAGGCTGCTTAAATTCACATGTCACCACCTTCCCCTGCAGCACTGATAGCGGCCAGCTGTGCTCTCAGGAGTTTTTTTGGTAAAGGATATTTTTCAACATTGCTAAAAAGTGCATTTGTTAGTAACAGCAACGCTCTGGAAAACCATCCCAAAGCAGAACTGGCTGCTCTCCTCAGCCTTAAAATGGGATGCAGGGGGCTCAGAGCAGGGAGAGGGGCTGTGCAGGGATAAAAGAGTGTTTGGGTTGTGATTTTCAGAGTTAAAATGCCTGAATGGTGGCCATAAAGGTGTGTTAAATTGTAGTGGAAATTAGGGAGAGCCACACCATGACAAGCAGGGCTCTCTAACATGGAAACAGAGGAAACCTTTTAATTCAGACAAATAAATTCTCTCTATCAGGAGTCCAGAAAAAGAACAGAGGGCTTAGAATAAGACCCAGACCCTGCATTTCACAGGGGTCACCAGGACTGGGCCCCTTGAGACCCAGCAGCTCAGCCCTGCTGCTGCTGCACTTCTGCTCTGATTTGCTTTCAAACACTTTATTCTTGGTTTTGTTCTTTTCAAGATAACCCAGCTGAAAATTGAGAACAACCCCTTTGCCAAGGGCTTCCGGGGCAGCGACGACAGCGACCTGCGCGTGGCACGGCTCCAAAGGTACCTCCCTCCTCCTCCTCCTCCTCCTCCTCACCCTCACGGGCTGCAGCTCTTGGCAGAAGCAGCTGAAGGTGCCAGAGTGTTGCTGGTGCCCGAATGGCACTGATACCCTCCGAAGGCCCTGCTGCCACCCCGTGCTGCCAGCCTTGCCCACGCCCAGAGCAGCGCGGCGAGTTCATCCTCTGAAGCAAAGGGTGCTGAAGTCACTGGCTGGAGCTGCTCTGGGGGAGCCAAACCAAGATTTCCTCACCCTGCTGATGAAATTCTGATGATGCTGATCACTGACTAACAAGCCTTCATTCTTCTCACCTCTTTTAGCAAAGAATATCCAGTCATTTCCAAAAGCATCATGAGGCAGAGGTTGGTGTCCAGTCATGGCCAGCTGTCAGCAAAGCCAGATGTTAACCCTCTCCATGGGAACCACCAGAGCCTGCAGCATTACCAGTATGAGAATGGTGCTCACATGCAGTTTGCAGCTTCAGATACTCAAGATCTGCCACTCAACACCTTCACAGCACAGAGAGATTCAGGGCTCTTCTACCATTGTCTAAAAAGAAGAGGTAACTCGAGTTCACAGTTATAAAAATATAATAGAAAATCAACCTGAGACCATGAGTTTGGTTTGGATTGGTCTCTTGGGTCTTGATCTTCAAAAATACTGCTGTGACTGAGGGTTTTGGAGGTCAGGAGGCAAAAGCTGCTGTTTGGAGCAATTTTTAGTGGGTTTGTTCCATAGAAGGTAAATTCAGACTCTGAGACAGAGCTGAAACAATTAATTAGAATGTGTAATTCAAATGGCACAGAGCTTCAGCGGAAAATGATCCATTGTTAGGATCAGCTGAATTCAAAATTGCTTGCAGGAGGCCATTAGCATTACCAAAATTCTACACTTTCCAAGGCAAAGCCATGAGCAATTCCCTCAATGTCTGCAGGCCAGTGGGACTGTGGGAGCTTGGTATGAGCAGCCCTTTCCTCTCATCCACTAATTCTCAAATTTAAGTGAGCTGTGACTGCATTCTCTTCCTTTTAGTCCAGCATCAGATGAGATCATGGCATGTTTTAAGTTAAATGGAAAAATTTTGCACAGAAGAAAAAAATCCTTCTATTTGCATGTCTCACTGCCTGCTAATTTATTTAAGCTGGGAGAATCCTCTGATCATGGCTAAATGAAGAATCTAACAGCACCAGTAATGAGGGCTGCAAGGCAAATGTGTAATTTTAGCAGATGTTTAATGTGCAGATGAATTCACTAATTCATCCAGAGAATATTGCTAATAAATAACAGAAAACTGCTGGGGAACAGGGCCATGGTCCTCAGAGGGGCTGTGCAGAGCTGAGGAAGGGCTGCTCACTGGGAAAGGGCTCCTTTATCTGAGATATTTCTGCAGCTTTTGACGTGAATATCTGGGAAATGTAGAGTCATTTTTGCAATGACAGGAAGGCAGGCTGTGATAAGAGCCTTTAAGAGACTCCTTGAGTTTGTCAGGAGGAGCCGTGCAGGAGTGCCAGGGCCCTCCTTATCTGGGTGAACGTGGAGTAATCCCTGATGTGAGAAGAGTCCCTCACTTAGGCTGACAAATGTCACCGGAGCGCTGTGAGGCCGTGAGGATTAGCCCGACATTTGCGGCACAATGTCTTTTTGATGTTGTACATTGTTTCCCCAAACTAAGACGGTTTAACTGGATTAAGCCGAGAAAGGGCACCACTTTAGTGCCATAACCTCGGCCTCCAAGGGCACTCCCCATTCCCAGCCCAGCGCAGCAGAGCCGCTCCTGAATGTGAACTGGATGTGAATTGAGTGTGAACTGAGTGTGGACTGAACTCCCCATTCCCAGCCCAGCGCAGCAGAGCGCTCCTGAATGTGAGCTGGATGTGAATTAAATGTGAACTGAGTGTGAACTGAGTGTGGACTGAATGTGGACTGAATGCGAATTGAATGTGGACTGAATGTGAATTGAATATGAATTAAATGTGAACTGAGTGTGAACTGAATGTGGACTGAATGTGAAGTGAATGTGAACTGAATGTGAATTAAATGTGAACTGAATGTGAATTGAACTGAACGTGAACTGAATGCGGACTGAATGTGAACTGAATGTGGACTGAATGTGAATTGAATGTGAATTAAATGTGAACTGAGTGTGAATTGAATGTGGACTGAATGTGATTTGAATGTGAACTGAATACGAATTGAATGCGAACTGGATGTGAATTAAATGCAAATTGAATGTGAACTGAATGTGAACTGAATGTGGACTGAATGTGGACTGAATGTGGACTGAATGTGGACTGAATGTGGACTGAATGCAAATTGAATCTGGACTGAATGTGAACTGAATACGAATTGAATGCGAACTGGATGTGAATTAAATGCAAATTGAATGTGGACCGAATGTGAACTGAATGTGAACTGGATGTGAACCGGACTGAATGTGGACTGAATGTGGACTGAATGTGAAGTGAATGTGAACTGAATGTGAATTAAATGTGAACTGAATGTGAATTGAACTGAACGTGAACTGAATGCGGACTGAATGTGAACTGAATGTGAACTGAATGTGGACTGAATGTGGACTGAATGCAAATTGAATCTGGACTGAATGTGAACTGAATACGAATTGAATGCGAACTGGATGTGAATTAAATGCAAATTGAATGTGAACTGAATGTGAACTGAATGTGAACTGAATGTGAACTGAATGTGAACTGAGTGTGAACTGGATGTGAATTGAATGCGATTTGAACTGAACGTGAACTGAATGCGAATTTCTCTCGCAGAAAGCGCTCGGCACCTGGACCTGCCCTGCAAGCGCTCCTACCTGGACGCCTCGTCCTCGGTGGGGGACGATCACTATTTCCGCTCGCCGCCGCCCTACGAGCAGCCGATGCTGAGCCCGTCCTACTGCGGCGAGGTGGCCCCCAGGGAGGCCTGCATGTACTCTGGCTCCGGCGCCGACATCGCCGCCGTCTCGGCCGTCGACGATTTACCGCCTCCCCCTCCTCCGCTGAGCTGCAACATGTGGACTTCGGTGGCACCTTACACCAGCTACAGCGTGCAGGCCGTGGAGACTGTGCCCTACCAGCCCTTCCCGCCGCACTTCCCCGCCGCGCCCGTGCTGCCGCGGCTGCCGGCCATGGCGGGCCAGGGCTCGCAGCCGCCGGGGAGCGGCCCCTTCGGCGTCTACAACCAGCTGGGCCCGGCCGCGGCCCGCGAGCGCGGCCCCGCCGCCTCCTTCCCGCCCCGCGAGCGGGTGCACCCGGCCGTGTGCGAGAGGAAGCCGCCCTCGCCGCACCTGAACGCGGCCAACGAGTTCCTGTACTCGCAGGGCTTCTCGCTCTCCAGGGAGGCGTCGCTGCCCTACCATTCAGGGATGGGGGCTGTGGAGAACTGGACCGACGGGTGAGCCCGCGCCGCGGCCTTGCTGCTCCGGGACGCTGCGGGCAGCGCTGACGCCTGTGGGTAACTTGCACTTCGGTGAGACACGCGTGCGCTTCCAGAGGGATCTGTGTGGGTGAAGAGCTTGTGTCCTCAGGCACACACAGAGTTCCGTCTCCTGTCTCAGTGGGCTGGATTCATCAGGCTCTTAGTGACTCCCAAATAAATTCATTCTCGTGTCTTCATCCAGTAGAAACCATCTTGACTAACGAGTGACCTAGCTAGTCATGTTCTTTTGCTTGTAATGTCAAACATCCGTGAGCAAATTTTGGCTATTTGGGAAAAAGACGAGCTTCGCTTTTACGGTCCTTGGCTGAGGAAGCCGCAGCCTCCCGAGGCTCCAAGGAAAAGGCCGCTCCAGGACTGCCGTGGCAGCGCTTCTCCAGCCGTGCTGTCCGGAGAGTCCCGCTGCTCCGGGGCCGGGCACGGGACCGGCACCGTGCTCCAGCGGCTCCCCCGACCCCACGACACCGGTCGTGGCTGTGGGAAGCAAAGTGAAGAGTTAAGTCCGAGGCCAAATTCATTGCAGCGTTAGGAACATTCCCAGTGTCTCCAGACTCCCATCCCTTGATTGAATCACATTTGCTTATTGCAATATATTTATGAAGTTTAAGCTTAAAAGTCGCTAATACTTTCCAGAACCAATTTCTGTATTTGCTGGTCCTTGATTTCTTTCGTATTCAGCTGAAACGTGCCTTTTGTGCTGTGTTCTTTCCTTTTGCATCTAGCTCAGACAGAATTGTCTTCGGCCTGAAGGAGGCCTGGAGGAACATTTCCTAATGATGGGTGGGGAGGGAAGAGCTCCCGTGGCCCGTCAGGCTTCACAGTGTACAGATGTTTGCAGAACAGGTAAAATCTTCACAGTGTACAGATATTTGCAGAACAGGTAAAATCTTCACAGTGTACAGATATTTGCAGAACAGGTAAAATCTTCACAGTGTACAGATATTTGCAGAACAGGTAAAATCTTCACAGTGTACAGATATTTGCAGAACAGGTAAAATCTGTCACCAGGGCACTCGTGGCTCCCTTTGCTCATGGTGGAAGGTCAGGGCTGACTCCTGGCTGTGCCCTCTGCTGTCCCTGTGAGCTCCTGGGGGATCCATCCCAGGGTGGCTCTGATCATCCTAGAGATCCTTTCCAGCCTCGGTGCTTCTGGCAGGGGGGGAAGCAGAGGGACAGAGGGACAGAGCTCCCACTGCCCTGGCCACAGAGCTCTGTCCTGCAGTGTCTGTCCTGCTGGGCTCCCAGCTGTGCCACCAAGGGGACACCGAGGTGAGCGTGTTCCACTGCAGAGCACAGTGTTCAGGCTTTGGTCATTGACAGTGGGGTTTTATTTCATTGTTTCCCAGACAGGCAAAGGCAGAAAGCTGAAATGCAGCTTTGGAGTGGGGAGCACAAACACCTCTGTGCTTGGTGAGTCCATCCCAAGGAGGAGCCTGGTCTGGGGGGCTGTGACACACCTCCAGGTCACATTTCAACCAGGACAGTCCCCTGCACCCACTCAGCAGAATTCCTGGGTGGCTGCTGGGGATTTTGTAACCAGATTTTGGAAATCACTACAATTTTTGCATGCTGAATAGCTATTTATATACATATATATTTTATATATATATATATATATAAAATTATATATATCACAAATGCAGGCCACGTGTCCAATTCAGCTTTGCTTTTAACAAATGAAATACTTAATAAAAATGAATGTTGCAAAGGGTTTTTTTTTTTTGAAAGACATCTATTTAAAATTTTTTTTATTACACACCTTTGATGTAAAAACTAAGAATTGGTTAGACAAAAAAACCATATATACTACAGATAAATCTTTATTAGAAACCACATTAGATACAGGTGGTATGGAATTTTGAAATGTTTGTTACATAGCATGGACATTTTATTTTACATATCAGAACATAAAGTCATTTTACTACTACAAGCTGTCTCTGGGTGCATTTCAATAATTAGTATAAAAATGTTCCATGGTGAATTCAGATGCTTTGTCTCTCTTCTGTCTCCTGCTCCTGGCTACACCAACCTCCCACTTCCCCAGGTCACACCCGACCCTTTTCCACCACCTCAAACTCCACCATCAGGTTTTAGGTGCCCGTGGGTTTCTTTGGGATTTTCCAGGTGTTCCTTTGTTTTAGGGGTCACTTGAGTTGGTTTGAGCACTGAGTTAAAAGCAGCCTTGGCCCCCAGAGCTCCAAAGCACTGAGCTGCAGCCCAGGGACAGTGGTGAAGAACCAGAGGAGGGAGGGAGGGAGTGGGGAGAGGTCTGGGGGTGTCAGTGCCCAGAATTTGCAATGCTCAGCTCATTTCTCACCTTGACACTGCATCAACACTGACCTGACAAATGGAACCCGAAAATGAGTGGGGTCAGCCCAGGCTGCAAAGGAAAATCTGCCTGGATCTTCTGCTGTTTTCCAAAGGTGACCAACACAATAACAATGTCATTTTTACTGAGTAATCACTCTGCTATTTTAACCGTTTTTCATGTACCTTCTGCTCACCCATGCAATATTTATTGATTTGAGGCAGTTTAAAAAGTGATTGCTGTAAGAATCCTCCCAGAACCTTTCAGTCAGTGCAGGGGGTGTAGAGAAATCTTGGCCATGGAATTGCTGCAAGTTTTACCTGGCAGCCTTTGCAAAGGGCAGGGCCCAGGCTCTGTCCCACAGCAGCCACTGGAGCTGATGAGTGCCCTGGGAATCCCTGTGCCAAACCATGAGCTTTTCCTTGTAAAAATAGCACAGGGTATTTATGAGTACAGGACCTGATTGGGAAAGGCTGAGTTAGCATAAAAATGTGCAAAATTTGGATATATGCTAATCTGGTCATCTGGGTTCCTTTTATAGTCACTGGAGAGAGATCAGACATTGAGATTAAATGGGATGAATCATTCTCCAGTGACAATCTTTTTCCACTCAGAGGAATCCAGTTCCTTAGAGCAGATTTCCCATTTCCAAATGGCTCAAAAAGTCATTTTAGTGGGATCCCCCTCCTGTGTGACTTTGACAAAAACATTGGGACATCATTGAATTATTTGCATTACAGATCCCACTCAAGATGAGCACAGGCAAAAAAAAAAAACCCAGCCCAAAACCAAAAAACCAAAACAAACAAATCAAACCTGGTGGTGTTAATTTATGGGATGGAAACAGGTTGTTCTTTTTTAGTTCACTTTATGATGTTTTCATTGAAGGTTTCTAACCTGGCTGTGTGTCCAGTCCCAGGTGAGGCACCCAGGTTCCATTTGATTTCTCCTGCTTTTCCCACCTGGACAGGCTTGGCAGGTGCTGTTCCTGGTCCTGGTAGAGCAGGATCCTTCCTGGGGATGAAGCAGAGCACAGCAACCCTGAGTGTCCTGGAGGATTTGCTCTGTTTGTTTTTCAAATCAGAAACACTAAACTGGGGACATCACTAACAAAAAATCCCAACAACCTGCACAGCTTTAAAAGAGATCAAGCGTGTTACTGCGTCCCACTTTGATTTACTGCACTTGAAACAGCTTTTCATTCTCAAGAATGTGGAGGTTCATGTGTGAGGCTTTTCCAGCCCCGGAGCTGCAGCCTGGAATGGCAATCCAAGCTCAGGGAAACCAGGCCCATTTCAAATCAGATTAAAGCAAAAATTAGCAAGTGAGAAAAACCTGAATACACACGAGGACCGTTTTCCATTGATGTGCTCTAATCTGTGCTAAAAGGCCCAGGGAATTTTTTAATTCTGTTTTTCTTGAAGGTAGATGTCCAAATTTCATCTTGGCCCAGGCAGGCTCAGTTCCAGCATCCCAGCAGCACTCGGTGCCAGACTGAGCTTGGACTTCCCTCCAAATAGAACAAATATTTGTATCAGCTTGCTGAGAATGTGAGTCACAGGAATATTTGCCAAAATTTAAACAAGCTAAACTTCAGTCCTGCCAACAGCCCCACCATTCAATTTGGCATCGCTGGCAGCTCACAGGCTCAAGAGGGGCCTAAGTCTGGAAGAGCTGGGGTGTTTTTGGCAAACATAAATTTATTTTTCTCTCTCTCTACATTTTGGAAAATTTGTGCCTCTCTGTATTAATTTATGATGTCATTAAATAATTCTTTTTGCAGCTTGTAGAGAAAGAATGTTTCTTTTGAAGATGAGAACTCCCCTGAGGATGGTTATAGTGAAAAATTCCAGCCAGAGGGGAAAAAAAAACCTCCTCTCCCCTTGGCCACTCATGTTTCTGCAGTAGTGCTTAAACAGCAAAAATATCTACAATATTTTAATTTAAGGACCTGCTCCAAGGAGGTGCCATGCCCTTGACTGTGACAAGAGGCAGCCTAAATTCAGTGTGACTGGAGGGATTTATTCCTGTGATAGCAGGCTGGGAGAGAATCTTGAGCCTGGGACTTGCTGGTAGAAAACATCACGTTTTGCACTGATTTGCTCTCTGCAAAGAACAGGATCAAGACGAAAAATTAAAGAAAAGGAAATCTTGGGAGTGGTACAAGCAAAGCACAAAGCCTTGTCCAACATGAACCTTATTTAATGTGCAAAGCCTGCCATGAGAGAAATTCCTGTAAAACTCTGGGGCTGGGGTGGTTTCATCACAAGGTGCACAGCCCAGCCTGGTCCCACTTAAACCAGAATTAAATTTAAACCTGGCCTGGGCTGCTCAGCCTCACTGGGACATGACAGGGGAAGGTTTGTGCACCTTGGTTGGTTTTTGTGGCCCAGTCCTGCCAGGAGGATCCTTCCCTGGCCATGGCCAGCAAATGCTCCTGGCTGAGCACTTTGGGAATGGCAGCTCAGGTGTCCCAGAGGATTCACAGCAGCAAGGATGGAAAATTGCCCTCCTGAGCCCCTGCCCACCTTTGGAATGTCCTGAGAGAAGGAAATAAAAAAGAGATTAATTAGTGCAAATAACACCAATTCAATTAAAATCAGGCTAATTGCAGGTTTTGTTAATTAGAAACTCATTTAATAAAAGAAAAGCAAATCCCACTGGAATGAAAAGAGGAGGAATAGCTGCAACAGGTCACAAGGCTCTTGTTCCACTGACAAATACTGATGGGAAAGAGGTCTGAAGGATTGTTTGGCAAATGCCAACATTTTTCATCTGGGTTTTTTTTGTTGTTGTCATTCCCAGCAAACACAAACTTTTGGCTTTGAACCATACATTGCTGCAGTTTGGATGAACATTTCAGTGGGGCTGTATTTACAAACTGGAGGAAATTTGACTTTTTAATAAGAAAAATTAGGTGGAGTGTCAGCACTGTCTGCCTGGGCAGCTTTGCTTTTAACAGTCCTGAAAGACAAAATCTGACAAATGTGTTTTCTAGCTGGGAGGTTCCCACTGATAAGAGGACTCTGGGCCAGGTTTGTGTGCTCAGCCCAGCCCTGGCAGCGGGGAGGACATCCCTGAGCATCCCCAGAGAACAAGATGTGCAGAGAAAATTCCTTACAGGCAGCAGTGCCTGCTGCAGCTCAGCACACACGAAAATCCTGCTTTTGTGCTTTCATGCCAAAATCCTAAAGCTCAGTCCTATTTCTGTTGAAGTCAATAGGAAAACTTTTACAGAGTTCAGAGTAGCAGGAGCAGCCCTTTCATCTTCCCCTCACTGCAGCCTTGGCTGTGCAGTGCAGCTCAGGAATGAGGCACGCAGTATTTGAGTTTGATGGATGACACAGCCACACTGAAAACTGCACTTTGCTCCTGCCCAGGGTGTCTGAGCAGCTACTGAGAGAGCAACAAAAGTCTGAATCTGATATTCAAATTAGTAATTTAATATTTTCGCATTTAATACTTTGTATTTAACACTTAATATCATAAATATAATATATAAAAGTTTAAATTATTATATTTATACATAGAATCATTTATATTTAAGCATTATAAATATAAATATAATAAATATAATAGTTAGTATTTGATATCAGCTATGAATCTAACACATGGAAGGTCAGCTGAAAATGGAACAGAATAATACCCAAACCATTGATTATCCCCTCTAAAGCCAAGAGCTCGTTTTAGTCTGAAACTTTGGAGCAGATTGCCCTGGCCATGAGGAATCAATCACAGGACATCCTGGAAAGGTGATGAACTTGCCTGGTGCACCAGAGTAATGGGAACCAGTTGGAGTGCAGGGCTGGAGGCACAGGGGACAGGGCAGGGATGGCAGTGGGGACAGGGAATTCATTCACAGAATTTCCATTCACAGAAAAAAAATCAAAGTACATTAATTACATTTATTAGCCACAGTGCCTGACCCGATCAGACACCTCTGGGTGAGCACTTGCTCTAAGCCTGACTCATGAGAGCACCAAAGGTGATGAAGAGTAAAAGGATTTCATCCAAATAAAAACTCTGCTTGCAATGAGTCTGTTCTTCCTTCTCCCCTCCCATGACACAGGCAGTTCAGAGCTTGGGGGGTCCCCACTGCCCCTCACCCTTCCCTTCCCCATCCCTCATCCAGGCAGGGGGCAGGAGCAGCTGCCCTGGTTCTGTGCAGGATCAGAGGGCAGCTCTGCATTCACACCCAGCACCAGGACTGAGCCCTCCCAGCAGTGCCAGGGAGGGAGGGAGGGATTTTAGCTCTGGGGAAGCCTCGCCCAGGCTCCCCAGGCTGGCAGGGCTCAGGAGGGCTGGGGGGCTTGCCTGGGGGGCAAACATTGTCCTTCCAGACATCCAGGACACGCAGCACGAGGCAGGAGGGCTGAGCTCTGCCACCCTGGGATGCACTGCCCATCCTCCCTGCAGGGACATATATAAATAATAGATAGAAACAAGGTGGAGGTTTTAGGGCCATGGCTGATCCTTCTTTGTCACCTTCCCCACGGGTTTGGGTGGTTTTGTGTAATTGGATAAGAAAGGCCACACTGTTGGTTGTTGGGTTGTACCCTGGGGGTGCCCTGCCCGTCCTCCTGCAGGGACACACAAACCTGGCAGCAGCACAGACACTCAGTGCAGGGTGTGGAGCCTGAAATGCCCCAGGGCTGAGGGAATCCAGGAGTGAGAGCTGGGGGAG